TCGTTAGGCAAGCGGTACACAAGCACCGCGTCACCGGCCAGCGACGTTGTTGCGCACGGCATGCACGTGAGGTACGTCCAGCCACCCCAGCGCCGCGACGCAACGGCTGCCTGGCCCATGGATGTGCTGCAGTAGACGCAGTACCGACCGCCCCACGGCACCATCCCTTCGTCGCACTCTGTCGCGAGAAACTGGTGCAGCGACGAACGACCGGAAAAGGTCGCTTCCGAGCTTGTCACGTAGACGTAGTAGAGAGCGTAGAAGGAGGCACTTGTCGCTACGTGAACACCTCCGAGTAGCGTCTTGCGAGCGTGATACGCTCGATGCAGCGACTCGACCGCGAGGCTCCAGCGATGCATGTTGGCCAGCACGAGACCGGCTGCGTGTTGTGCTACAGCGATAATATGCTTGTAAAATGGCGGGTTTGATCGAGGAGGCGTACCTTCAGCAGCAAGCCGCTCGCATCCAAGAGGCGCCGAGTGTACCGACTCGAGAAGTGCCCACGCGGGTCCGAGCGCCTTTGCGAACCGATGGGCGCCCGCCAAATCGATCGCCGCCGACCAGATCTCGCTCGTGCCTGCTACTGCGCGGGCGACGCGTTCGTAGTACTCGACTGCGCGCTTGGTGTCCATGCGTTGGAGATGCGCGAACCCGAGGTTCGTCCAGCGTCCCCGTGCATCGGGTGACGATGCAGTAGATGATTCGGTGAGCCACGCGATCGCGAGCTTGTACTCGCGAACGTCAAGGAGGACGTCGCCAATCCAGTCGGCGATCGCCAGCGTCTTGGCGTCGCGGGGCCCCAACGACCGGTCGAGCGTGAGGTACGTGCAGTACAAGAGTGAGAGCGCCACGACTGGCTGCACCTGCTCGCACACTCTGGTGAGCTCGGCAATCATGTCGATGCTCGTTTCGGCCGCCATTGACAAGGGCGCGTGCAGGCTAATTGGGGTTAAGCGCACATGACCAAGGCGCGCAGGCCGAGCAAAGCGCGACGGCAGGAGGAGCGCGCTCGGCGGCAACTCGACCGCGAGCACCTGCGTCGGCGCCACGACGCAGGCGTGGTCCGGAAGCTGCAAGTTGACGCACACGGGAGTGCTCGGGCCAAACGCGTCGAGGAGGAGCTCGACAAGCGTCGTAAAGAGCAGCTCGGGATGATATAAAACGACCCAGGACGCTGGCGACGATGCCGGCGCCTTCGTCCCATGGGGCTGGCACGGTGCTGCGTCGAGGCAGCACACACCGTCGAGCTTGTCGGCGCGGTCTTGGACGTAGGCGCCGAGGTCCTTGACGAGATAGCTGGGCAGCGACATGGCAAATGTGGTTCGACGCGTTCGAAAGACTCGCGACGCTGGACACGGCCGAGTAGCTGCGGATCTGCCACCTGCATCAATACGGGATACGATCAACAGAAGGGGCTGTGCGATACCTCGCCTGTCGACGCAGCCGGCAGCGCGCGCTACTCACGCCACCAAGTAGCACCAAGACGGACCACGCTCGACGGAAGACTCGCCACATGGATCGCATTTCCATCCGACCTGGTACCAGACCACGCGTCGTCGTCGCTGGTGAGGCCGGAGAGTCCGAGCGCAAATAACTGTTCTAGTGCTCACGGGAAGAAGCCGCCAAGCAAAGAATACCGCATGCAGGCCGTCGAGAGCGAGCGATCTGGATGGCGCCTTCATGATCACCGACCACACGGTCTGGGGCATGACTGATGTATCACACGTCGAACCCTTGCCACCTCGTCTACGTTGTGCGTCGGGCTAAGCTTGGACGGAGACCCCAATCACAGCATGCGATTTGACATATGAAGCATAGTCCATGTTTACAGCTACCCAAAGGGTCTAATGTAACATAACAAGTACAGTTAGTGCAAATTCTACTACCCTCCTACCCTCCTAGTCAGTGCAAATTCGTCTAGTAGCGCGATCAAGCGGCACGTCAAACGCCTATCGTCTTGAACATCCGTGGAACAACGCTGTCGATGGGCGTCAACTGCAAAAAATGCAACTGCGGATACGACCATCGTCGGGCTTTAGTGTGATCGCAGCTGCGTTCCGGGAGGTTTAAGGTCATGCTAACTGGAATCGATCCCGGTTCACGCGTTGGAAGCTGCACCTCAAAGCGCTGTAGAAAGGACCGGTGGCTTATTCCAGAGACCTCGGATGAAACATCCCGTGAAGTCCAACGAACGCTGCGGAGACCCAGTCGGTATCGAAATAGTGTATGCTCGTTGACGTTCTGACGGCCTCTGTCGTCGCAAATTCGACATTGATGCCTTCATTGTGTCTAATACTATATTGCACGTACTATAGACTTGACATGTGAATGGACATGTTGTCATTACAGGTCCGTTGGCCTTTAATACCCGTTTCGCACACTATATAGTGATACACATGCATATAGTGTCACAACTAGGCGCGATCCAAAAGATACCGGCAGATTCCATTTTACTCCCGACCGACCGACATGTCCATCGTCCAGCGCCGCGCCGCGATCGCCGCCATCAGCGCCTTGGTGAGCGACGCTGCCTCGATGCCACTGCACTGGATCTACGACGACAGCGAGCTCGCGCAGCGCATTGCAGGCAAGGACCCGGCCTTTCTCTCGCCGCCCGCCAACAAGTTTTACAACTACGCCGAAGGGGCGCTCTCGCCGTACGGCGATGAGATCGTGCCGCTGCTCCAGCACCTTGCGGACGCACCGGCCTTTAGCGCCGAGGCCTTCTCGGACGTCTCGCTCGCGGCCATGCAGTCGTACACGGACCGCTTGAATGGCGTCATGCGCGAGTTCGTCGCCCGCGCTGCCGAAGGCAAAAAGTTCCCGCACCTCGCCGGCCCCAACGATGACGGCCACGGCCTCAACAAGGTCCCGCTCCTTGTCGCGCGGTATGCGGGCAAGCCGGAGCTTCTCGATGTCGTGCGCGAGGCCGTGCTCGTGCACCAAACGACGCCGCTCGCGATCGACGTCGCCATCGCCGGTGCCATCATTTTGGAGGCGGTCGTCGTCAAGCAGAGCTCAATCAAGGACGCAATCACCGCGGCGCGCAGTGATGTCCGCGTGGAGGCTTCGGTGCAGGCGCTCATCCAGGGTGTGCTTGATGACGCGGTGGCATCCTCGGATGTTCACGCGGCGGTTGCCAAGTACGGCAAGTCGTGTCCTCTCCCCGGTTCGTTCCAAAGCGGTCTCTTTGTGCTTCTCACGGACGGCCAGTACGTGTCGTCGATCACCAAGAACATCACGGCCGGCGGCGACAACTGCGGTCGCTCGATCTTTGTCGGGGCCGTGGCGGCGGCGGCCAATGATACGCCGACGCCGGACGCGTGGCAGCACAAGATGACGCGCTTTGCCGAGCTGCACGCGCTCGTCGAGAAGGTCGTCGCCAAGAACAACTAACTGTATGTCCTTCCTACACTAATACATATCGACTCCAGTTCGGTTGTCCATACGAGTTGGCTTCCCACGCGAGCTGGACGCAGTAGACGCCGAATCGCTAAGATCGAACGGACGCGGAGCTGTTATGGCATTGCAGTGTATTACATGGTCCCCAGAGTTTGAATGTGATTGTGTTGTTTCTTACGCCTTCTTGGTGACGCACTTGGTCTTGTGCGCCTAATGCAAATCGCTCAACATCGCTGTACGAAGCGTGCTAGTGGTACCTCGAGGGCCGCAGCCAAGGTCTCCGAACCGTTCACGAGCTGGACAAACTCCGCGACCGACACTTCCTTGTCCTGCTTGCCCAAGACGACAGCCGTCGTCGGGTGGCCCACCACCGTCGCCGCCGGAACGCGCACCTACATTCGCACGCGATGAGCGCACCGCAATCCTGCCGCGAAACGTACGACGCTGAGGTCCTTGGTGACAGCCAGCGGGAAGGCCTTGTGGCGCTTGAGGGCGGTCGCCTTGGAGGGCTTGACCGTCGACGAAGCCACGACCGCGCCCTCGAACGCGCCCGTGACGCCGACCTCGGGGTGCCAAATGGCGCCGTGGGCAGCGTGCAAGTCCTTCTGCGCGCTGCGCCACGCGGCCGTCGCGTTGAAGACGAGCGTCGACGACGCGCGGTCGGCCGACGTGAGCACGTCGCAGGGCAGGGCAATGTTCGACGGGATCTCGGCCTAAGCGTTACGTGAGTTGCGAGTCGAAAAAGGAGACGGAACGACGTACGTCGAGCTGCGCCTTGGCCTTGAGGATCGCGTCTTGGATCTGCCCCAAGCCGACGGCGTTGCCACGGACAACAATCTTGGCCTGCTCGAAGCCATCCTCGTTGACATCAACGTTGTAGGCGAACGTCGACTCCTTCGTGTTGGTCTGGACAACGACGAGGATCGGACGGGGCTACATGTGCGCATGAGATCCACGTCATTTTGTCCGTGTCATCGGTACCGTCTGGGGATCCTTGGCAGTGGGCACTGCGACGATCAAGTTGGCCAACGCGTGCGCGAGCGCAGGCGAGTCCGAGATGACACGGATCTACAAAGAGCATTACAATTCTGCAATACGAGAGCAAACCAAGCGAATACCTGCGTGCGGACAGCAGCCAAGGCGCCGACGGCGCCGTCATGAACGTACAAGTCCGAAACGTGGCCAAGCTCTTCCGTCACGTCGTTCCTGTAGCGCGATCAGTACAAGCCCGTGCATAGTAGACGCTAGATCGTACCAGAGGCCCAAGAAAGCCACGGGGTGCACCTCCTCGAGCGCGACCGACGACTCAATGGGAAGCGGGAACGCGCCCGAGACCGCAGCGAGGTTGGCGAGGGCGCGGTTCCGGTAGCAGTTGTGGCGGGGCGTAACATCATCGTCGGCCAAGCTCCAGTTCACCTCAAAGTTGTTGCCCTCGTGCTCTTCGGGGAAGTCGGCAATGAACTGGCGCGGCAGCTTCATCTCCGGCTCCAAGATCGACGCCACGGACGGCGTCGGCGCGGCCGTAAGCGAGCGCACGCTCATCTAAATGCATACGCACGGCCATGAGAGCTAGGTAGACGCCAGAGGACTTGCGCCTACCCGGCGGGACGAGGCGACGGCAAGGCGGCGCAAGGACATCATCATGCTCGAGGTTGCTCTTGACGACAAAGGGAAAATGTCTGGCCAAGACGAGATCCGGATAAACCTGTCGCAACCGGAGAGGCATTTGCGTCACGCGAGCTCAGTTTTTCCTTCTCTTTTTATCATGAAATCTTTGTATGCTGCTGGCCTATTTTTATACCTGACTTGCGCAATATTAATACAATATTTTTATTCTAGATACTACAAAAGGCCTGTTAGTGCCTGTTAGGTAGAATATTAATATTCCACACGCTCGGGGGCTTAGTCGACTATATTAGTTGTGCCAATAGTTAGTTAGTCGTTGAAACCTACTACTGTAAGCCAATCAACCATTTGTACTAACGTTAGTATCGAGTTGCAAGCCACTGCTGAACAAAAGAGACCACGAGCTCCCAGTCAAAAGCGGGAGAGCACACACAGTCGGTACCAACACCAGGGGCATAATGCCCAGCATCGTAGGCTGGTGTGTAGTACGCTACTAGCACACAAATGACTATGCATCAATCACAATACATGGTTTCATCGCGGCGCTTCCTCGCTTGATGCAGTCTTTCACATTCCCTTAAAGTCGCACCTGCTTCTCATGTGTAGTCGTCGATACTAGTATGGTCAACGTCGAAACCCGCCTCTCTTGCTTGCAACCGGAACCATGTTGTCTCGCTGTCCTCTGATTGGTGCATCGAAAATCAGCATGGTCTTCGATTGGTGCGCCGATAAAATTGGTGCGGTCTGATTGGTGCATCGAAAATCCAAAAAATCGAGCGTCCAAGTATATTGATGGTTTGGATGTCGATTACTCTAATGGTAGTACTACTACAAATACAAGTTGTTTACAAGTACGTCGTGATGGCGTACAGGATGATGCCGCAGCCAATCATGAGGACGGGCGTGTCCATCGTGTGGGGCGCGATCGCTTCGGCGTAGGCCATCGTCGGCGGGAGGATGAGCATGGCCGTGAGCACCTGCGTGAAGTTGTCAAAGTTGGCGTACTGGAGCGCGGGGAAGATCATGCCCGAGAGGAAGACGCAGGCCGAGCCCTCCCACGAACGCGTGTACTTGCGCGTCGAGAAGAGAGCGCGCGTCTTGTACTTGTGCTTGCCCCACATGATGCCCACGGGCTCGGCGAGGCCGTCACCGATGCCCGTGATGAAGACGATGATGAAGACGAGGTCGCCGTTCGTGGCGAAGAGCCACTTGAAGAACATCAAGATGAAGAGGCCGGGCGCGATGTTGCCAGCGATGATCCACTTGAGCGTGTGCGGGCGGTCTTCCGGGCGGTCGAGCGAGTTGAACTGGAGCATGAAGAAGCTGCTCGCCTCACGGATGGGCTTGATGAGGACGAAGAAACCGACCATCGTGAAGAGATCGCCCCAAGCGAGCGCGAGCGGACCCGAGAAGCTCGTGTGGATCACGAGCGGCACCATGTACGCGGCAAAGTGCTGGAGCTTGCGCGTGTAGTTGACCTTGAAGGCTGAGCCCTTGTTGGTCATGATGTAGCCCTTGTCGTCAACGGCGCAGAATGCACGGCAGATCATGCCGCCGATGAGCGACACGAGCATCATGCAGAGCACCTTGGGGATCTGGCTGTACCAGAACGCCGGCGTCGTAAAGTAGTCGATGTGGTAGAAGTACGTGAGGACGAGGAGCACGACGAGGTAGAGACCGAGGCCGATCGCAAACACAAAGTCAAACGTCTGCGTCCACGGCGCGTCGTAGTCGCCGGCGACTTCGCCTTCTTCAATGGCGGCCTCGGCAGCGACAACGACCTCCGTGTCCTTGGTCTGGAGCGGGAGCGTCTCGGCCTTGGTGACAACGACCGGCTTCCACACGATGCGGAGGAAGACGTAGATGGCGAGGAGCGAGACGATCGGGAGACCGACAAGCGTCGCGAGCTGCAGGTCCGTCATGGTGGCGGGCCATGCCGGCGCGGCAATGACCGTGGAATTGGCAACCATGGGCGAGGTCCGGTGCAAATTGCAGAATGAAGAGCGAGGCCGGCGGTTTGGCCAGGTCCACAGAAATCCCTGAGCTCACTGCGACATGATTCGGGCCGTCGCCATGTGGCTTAAGTCGTCAGCACCCTGGATGCCCAATGGAGTGGGCTCAGCTGCGATTTTCACGTGGCCTTTCCGTGTGAAACTCACTTCGCGCCTGTTATAACACATGCAAATTGCATGCCTCCTTGCAAGCGCCAAAGATCTCGTGGCTGACAGCAAGCTGTAGAGTACATCGCATTCTTAAGGCAAAGTGCGTGCGTTTCGGCGTGGGTACGATTGCGTGCTGGGTACAATGGGACGACCAATGAAGCTGGGAATTCACCATAAGCTGTTTCTCGTTGCTATGAGTCGCGCGAGGACGACAAGTGTGTGCGATGCTCCTCACAGCACACTACATCATCGTTACGAAGCTTTGTACTGTATCTACTGCATGAGAGGGTTGTACATATTTCGGTGGACCGCGAAACGCTCACCGTCAAGCCATTGGAACCGCGCGTCCGTCACATGTGCGACATCGCAGGCAAGTGAAATGTGGGGCTGGCAGCACCTGCGATCCAAGCCAGACTCTGGCGAGCGATCATCCACCCAGCTCCAGTGACGAACGAGAGAACTCGCCTGATTGTAGAGGTGCCATCTATCATCCGGCTCGCTATCACGCACTGTTATAACACTCGTGTGATCGCGTGAAAATCTCGACACTGGTCAGCAAGCAAGCCAGAGCCCAAAAAAAAAGAAATCGCCTCGCGCCAAGTATACCATTCCGAGCCGCGGCTGCGCGACGTTGAGTGGCTGCGAGCGGCCTGCGTGTCGCAGCGGGCAGCCAAGCTTCGTGTTCGTTGAGGCCGAACAAGCAACCGAGTGCGATGCGTCGGCTTGGAATCCTGCACTCGATGAATGTATGCCGCGCCCGTCGGCGCTTCAGGATACGGCAAGCGTGGGATTTCGCACCGTGTGGTTTGCCGGGTTGCATAAAACACACGGTAGCGCGCGACGGCAGCGTGTGAAATTCGAAATAACACACTGCCATAACAAATCGGGCCGTTGTGTCGGCACTTCGTGCGCCGTGCATTCGAGGCGTCGCAAAGACAACACGGAAGCACTATACGCGCCAGTATCTCTAGCTAAACACGATCGAATACCTGTACTTGGATACCCTGCGGTCTGTGGATTCGGCCACTCAGTGCGACGAGTCCAAGTGTTCTTGATCGATAGTACAAGGGGCCAACATCGACATCACGCTAGCAACAAAGGCATGTGCGTTGATGGCAACTATGGACTTGTGTTGAAGCGCGTTGCAGTCCATTCGTTGCATCAACTAGGATGCTTCCCTTTCCCGGTTTCCACCTCCATACAACGCGCCAATCAGGTAGCCAACTCTGACGTTTAGTACCAGTAGTACGAAGCGGCGCTCCGTATGGTCAATGTGTCTGCGCTGAAGCCGAGCAGCACCAACGCGGCGAGTCTTGCATCTTGGCCAACAAAAGCGTTATAACACCACAGCGAGAGGTGTAAAATACGATGGTTGTGGTGGGTTTTGTCGTGAATTGCAAGTCCGACACGTGGTGGGTGACGAAATTGATTGGCGCCATCTGCACCGCAGGTCGATTGTATAAACACGTCCAAGCTCCGAGGGTCCGTCTCGCTGCTGTACGAGTGCGCACGACGGAGTGTGCGCCGGCACGTAGAGTTCGCAAAGCTAGTTATTGTCTAGGGGCACTCTGTTATAACGCGTTCGCGCAGGGCACATCCTCCTCGTTCCTGCCGTGCACGTCATATCACCGTGTTAGACAAGCCAGGAAAAAAAGAACCCAGAAAAACAGAAGCCTTCAATTTCGTGTCCTCGAATGGTCGGGTTTGGTCCACTGGATTGGCTGGAAGCGTGGACGAGAGCGCGCCACGTGGGTGGGAAGGCGCCGTCGAGCGATCCGCAGATCTGGTTCCAACTGCACGGTCGCCAGAACCGACCGCCGCCACTCATTCGCCTTGCCCCATTACACGATGGGCTGTCGCTCGACGGCCGCGCACATCCGCTTGCAACGCCCGTCCAAGCGATGACGCAACAAGTCCAGAAGGCGGCGATCGCTCCCGTGAACACCGCAGGAATCCGCGGCGATGCCGGCTCTAACATCAGGCGAGACGAGCAAACGCCTGCGGCGACAACCGCTTCGATGCACTACGTGCACACCAACAGACGCACGGAGCAGCTTGTCGAGGCGCCAAGTCTCGTCTCGATGTGCATTGATGCGCAAAGCAATAGGCTGCGCCCAAGTTCTGCGATGAGAACGTGGCGCATACCCCGAGGCTGGCATCGCTCAGCTGTAGCGTCAGCTCTAGCAGTCGATATTCGGATGAGCCGACCCAATGGAGCAAATAAGGCAGACCTCGCAGCCCTCAGGGAGGGAGGAGGGATGTCCCTGCAACAGGATCGTCTGCAATGTCAGTGATTGGTTGCTTCATATCCGGCTCATCCGGATACCGTGCCACGGCAGACGCGACGATGCTGACGCGGGCCGTGGTGGTTGCCGTCGCATGGCTGGCGCTGGCGGTCGAGGCCGGTTCGCGCTTCCTCTTTAAGCTCGACACGTCTGCAACGACGTCTTCGCCCGTGGGCACCTGCGCCTTCGCCGCCATCGCGGTCTCATCGCGTGTATTAGGAGTGCTACTACGAGCTCCTCGATGCCCGTGCGACGCAGAACCGCCTGCTCTTCCGCTTCGAGCTTGTGGAAGCCGGAACGCCTGGTGCTCCGCCAACTCAAGTAGCGTGCGCTCACACAGCGTACGGTAGATGCTGTCGACGCCTTCATCCAGACCCCCACCGGCCGGCTCGCCAAGCAGTGGACGTTCCGCAAGGCTGGACACGTTGCGATTCAGGTGCGGGAGAGGTACGCGTCAGCTTGTCGCCTGCAGTCTACAGTGCGCATCTGTAGCGGCCTCTACCGCTTCTGCTTTGTACATCCAGGTACTCGAGCAGGGCCGCGTCCTGAGCTCAATCGATGCACTAGGCTCTGGCTCGTCCGAGAAGACGGTCGTGTACGCATTCGACTTCCTCCTCGCAGGCACTCGCACCTTTACAGTACGGGCGTGCGCAAAGCGTGCAGTTGGTCATGCGCACGCAGGTGTATCCAAGCCGGGCCGACACTCTCGGCGCCGTCGCTTCGTCGTCGCTCACTGCCGTGCGGACGCGCACGGACCACGAGGTTTTGATCTTCTTGCGCGATCAGGAAAGTATGCTATGTCTCTAGTCGGTGGGCTACATGCGTTTCTCGCTCTCCGGTGTCTCCCCCAGCATCGTGGACCTCAAGACGCGTGTCTACCTCTCGCTCTCGGTCAAGGCCACCGACGTCTCGGAGCTTCAGCTCGCGACGATTCCTCTCTCGGCCGTCCAACACCGACACTGGTAGAGGTCGACAAAGTGTAAGCTGCGGTTGAATCAGTGGCTAGGCAGTCGCACCTCGACGGAGTGGCCAGGGTACTCCCCATGAGCACGAACGTAGGAAGATGACGGCAAGTAGGACCACGTTGTGGCATGTGCAGCTGGCGGCAGCGTTGTCTTTGACATCACCGACCTTGCGACAGGTTGGTATAGATATCTACACACGGCACGCTGCACGTCAACTAGATGCTATCAAGCACGGGCAGGCGACGTTGTCCTTGGCGGTACTACCTCCTCGCGGCAAGTACACGCTTCACCAACGATGTGTCTAGGTGTTTAGCCCGTCGGTAGGCACCGCAGAGCTGCACTCCATGTCGCAGGTCGCAGCCGACCACTGGCCGCTTGTGACCTTTGAAGGTTCTTGGCTTTGTTCTCCTTGACGTCTCACCTGTGCCAGCAGACGTTGGTGCGTCGCTCTGGATCGAGATGCTGCAGTTTCGCCAGCGCGTCTGGGACCTCAAAGGTGCACAGCGTTGGATGCTCGGACGCATCAAGTGTTGTAGGCAAAATCGGCTCCATCGTGCAGCACGAACGCACGAGCCGCAACGGTACGAAGACGCGTCTCCAGTCGTCGCTGATTCAGTCGTGTCGCAGCGGCCGAGAGTGCCCACGCCCGCTTTGTCGTCGTGGCTCTGCTCGGGAACGTCGTCCTGGTCAGCATGGCCCTCACGCAAGTCTACTACGTGCGGCAGTGGTTAGCGTGCTAAGCAGTAAACGGACTAGTGACACATAGACTACCCGTATAATGATAGTATGACGGACGCCTCAACATCAGTTTTGGCGATATCATCAAGCAAGTGCGCACCGTATCCTCCCCATTGCTCTGGAGTCCAGCCAACGCGGTGAAGCAGCGGTCGAGTCTTATAAGTGCACTTGTCCAGGATCTCCGTCCCATACATGCTTGATGGCTCTACGAACAACGAGTGCCAAGCGATGCGAATACCAGACGTCGAAGTGAATGGATTCAGATATAATATACCATTTGGGAGACCAGAAGTGGTTTCGTTCCGAGACTTGTCTTCTTTGTCCTCGTTTTCCCGTTCAGAGTGTACCTGTATCTGTTACGTTTGTCTCAGCTAGGGAATCGTCTTATCAGTCGTGTGGCAAACTCGGCATCTGAACGGTCTTTGTGCATAGCCCAAAGCCGCACGCGGTCTTGCTGGTCATACGAAGAAGGTCGTTCATGATGTCAACTACAAGTTGACAGACGCGCTTGTCCCAGACCGACGCCAGAGCCAGCGACGGCCGGAACTTCAAGATCGTATTTTTCTGCATCCCGTGATCGATCGCGAGTAAGGACGACCTTTTTGGTCGCCGGTCCGTGGGCACGGCTGTCGGCAAATCTCAATCGTGTCTGCGTGCCGGTCGACTCTCTCAAGAGTGTCTTTTCGTGGTCCTATTCCACTAGGCGAGTGAGACGCCTTGCAGAAATGACGATCGCTGTGGCCTGTCTACGCGGTCCTGGTCTCGCGAGGTGCAGGTGTATCCAGGTTGAGCCGATGGGGTTTTTATCGCCCTGATCCAAGGCTTGTCGCGGAACATGAAGACCCCCTCCCCGTACCCTTCGCCAGTCCACGTGGGCGGCGTTGACACTGCCATTCAGGGAATGACCTAGGTCCCAGTCGTTTTGGGGGGACCCACCAAAACCACCTGGCACTCGCCCGCGAGTGGCTGGCCAATCAAGTGCTCGTTTCTGTCCTCCCCGGGATGCTCTCATGACCGGATCTCTAAACCAGCGGGCGAATGGTGATGGTGATTGCACCGGAGCTCATTTGTTGTCTCGCGCTATTGTTGAACGACCCGGGCATGAATCTTACGAATAGCAGCTTCAGCCACCACTACCAAGATCCGTGGACCATCTTCCTCGACGCTTTCCTCCACGACGCGATCGCAACGCAGTCGAGCGCCGACCTGGCCGCGCTGGCGTTGACGTCCCGCGCGATCGCCGCGCACCTTCGCGGGTCGCCGCGCTTTCGCCTTCTCCAGCTTCTGCACCTGCGCAACCGCATGGCCATCGTGGACGACCGCAATTTGCGCTTCCTCGTACACACCGAGGTCAAGACGGCGTGCGGCATCACGGGCAAAGGCTTTGGCGTCTACTTTTTCACGAGCGACCCGCAACGCATCCGAACGCCGGCGCCCCTGTACCTCAAGGACCTCCACGCCGAGATCTGGCGCCTCGCTAACCTCACGCATGCGACTGCGTACGAGTCGACGTGTGCGATTGGACGAATTCACAACTGCGCGTGCGACGGCTACTACCAGCCGCGCCTCAAGGTCCGCCTGAGCGCTATGACCAAGTGCAAAACGACGCTTGTCGAAAAGCACAGCGCGCACCCGCACGCCTATGTCGTCTCCGCGACGGACGCCCCGCCGCGATGGCTCCTCTCCAACGACATGGCTTGGGACGACATGCTCTCGTGCCACGAGTTTGGCCGCCGCGTCGCAGCCAAGCGCTGGTGGGACGACCGCCATCCCGACGTCCGCCGCCTCGCGCCCATCCTGCGCGACCGTTTCATGACGTGGCGCGACGCCGACTGCCCAGTCGTGTTCCAAACCAACGGGTGCTCCTTCAACCTGTCGCCCTTCCACGCCGAGTACACGACCGAGATTTTTCTCGCTCAGCACGCAAAGGGCCAAGCGATCGACCTCGACGACGACGACGACACTGAGAGCGACATATCTTCGGACGACGACGGCGATGCACCCGTGCACTAGCCTTATTTGGTCTATCTGCTTGTCCAAGACTTATTTAAACGCAACGTGTTTGTAGCTGGTATTGTTTGATATCTACTATTTATTTCCAGCTTCCTTGGTTGAAGAAGCGCCGACATAATATCGCCACGCGCCTTGTAAAAGCGACTCGCCACGTACCAAGTTGGGTGTCTAGGGTGCGTGCTTGAAGTTGGTGGCGTCGTAGTAGCTGAGTATCAATTGTAGTTGCTCTACGTCGTCGGAACAAGCTGACTTCAAGTTTTATGCTCTGCGAAACGACGTCGGCTTTGAGAATGTAGCCCATAACGCAGACCGTTATTTGTGTAGTACTGTGCGCTTGTACGAGACAAAAGGCCTCTACAGCAACGTAGCGACCAGGACAGCTTCGTCAAACCGCCCGACACTGGTCAAGATGGCGGGCTCCCGCAGCGACAAGACGCACGAGCCGCCAACAAAGGGCGTGCCGCGCTCGATGCCGGTTCGGTTGGAGCAGACAAAGTAGCAGTCCGTCGAGGCAGCGCGGGCCGCTTCAATGACTGGGACGAGCCGATTGGCCCAGTACCTAGTCGTTAACCAACCTTGTAGTCGAACGAATGAGGCGTGTCGTACTGGATGGTTGGCATGGCCGAGTTGCTCGTCTCGTGCGGGCTATGGTCGTTCCATGCACTCGAGAAGAGAACGATCGAGCTCTTGGCCTCGACAATGCTCGTCGCAAACTCGTACGCTTCCCACGGCGCCTTGAAGTCATCGGGATTGATGTCCATGCAAATGCCTAGCGTCCATTAGCGCAAGACGATGCAACCAAGTCGCACCAAACGAGAGCTGCCGCTGGAGCCACGGACAGTACCATGAGCCAAAACCAGTGGGACTCGGCGTCGCCCACGTCTTGTCCGTCTCGTACAGGAACGTCTACAGACACAGTGTACCTTGTTGTATCGCGCAGAGGCCTACCTTGCGCGCGTTGTAGACAAGGTCGCCGTCCGGGCTCAGCACCATCATCGCGTTGTACAAGGCGTCGCCATCGCCGCGCTCGACGTAGCCGCATGCCACGAGGCAGCGTAGGCGGCGGGCCTGCGCCTGACACCAAGTAAACGTGGGTCCGCTGTCGGGGCGCTCGGCGAACGGCGCAATCTCGGTGCGGTCTTTGAAGCAGTAGCCCGTGAACGGCATCTAGCTCGCATCATTTGCAGGCGCGTTCGACGACGACGGGCAGCGCACCTCGCAGAGCTGGAGAATGTCGATGCTGTCAGAGTCCGAGAGCTTGGCGAGCATCGCCGAGACGTGGGCCATGTTGCGGGGCACGTCGCCCAGCACGGGCTCGAACTGGACGATCGCCACCTTCACCGCCGGCATGATGCAAAAAAGGACGTTTTCATCGCTGTACACCGGGGCACAGCATGTGCTCCATCTTTGTACCCCGGGGTATCTGCATCGACATGTTAACCCAATCAGAGTGGCCACTCCAGTTCTTAGCTCCAGGGCTCTACAATTATAGTAATGCAATTCTTCTGCGTAGCTCACTCCCTTGCTGCCCATGCTCTTGGTAAGTCGCTCCCCACAGCACGACCAAACGTACTGGATCGAAACTGGGACTCTGGAAGTCAACGCAAAGCTGTCGTCATTACCACTTTTGCTCGGCGGGCACCAAGTGCGTGTCCATGAAGCTTTGAACCGACTCGGCGGCCATGTGAGAGGACTTGCATTTGAGCAGCGCGACGCGGACGATGCACTCGATGAATTCCATGAACGACATGCCGCGTGGCCGTCCGACGCCGGCGGTGGTGGGGCCCTTGGTTTGTTTGGCAAACGACTTTTCCGTGCACTTGAGAAAGACGGTCTCAAGCACCGCCGTCGTAAACCTACCCGCAGTTCTTAGTTGACTAATGTACTATCAATCCTTGGTACCGCGTGGTGAGCACGCCACAGAGACGCATGCACTCGCAGAGCTGGGCAAAGTTGAGCCGGTGGTGGATCAGCGGATACGTGCGCGTAATCGACGTCGACTCGATAAGCACCGGCAACTTCATAGGCTGAAAGTGGTCGAAGGTCTTCTGGAGCGTGAGCACGTGCATCGAGAGGACGCGGTCGAGGCACTCGACTTGCAGCTGCCAGTCGGGCCAGCCCAAGTACAGGTCGTGCAAGTGCATTCGCTTGCAATAGGCCGCCTTCTTGATCTACGCACCAAATTGTATCGAGTTGATACTTTGGGTGCCGTACATTGGCATACGGCACGAGGCGCTGGAGGTGGTCCCGGTCTTCGGTCGTCTTGGTCAAGTCGTCTTCGAGCGATCGAATTTTGGCTACGTGGGCAGCGTGAATGTCCTTTTGCTGAGCGAGAAGCGCTTCGAGCCCTGCCAGCAGCTGCTGGGTTCGCGCGTGGGCCGTGGTTTCTACACTCAGCGCCCGACTCGCACTCGCCTCGGTCGACGTCGCCAGCTCGAGGTCGTTTGCGAGTGTCTCGATCTTGGCTTGCGCTTGCTGCAGTGCCACGCAAAACGTGTTGCGCTATTTCATCTTGCACAATCCAGTTGATACATTGAAATTACCTCGTTGGTGAGGAGCGTCGCGCCCTCGACCCGCGTTTGTCGCTCGACGTGGAGCTGCTCTTCGAGCGTCTCGACTCGCTGATTGGCTTTGCGGAGCGCCGTCTCGAGGGCTTCGATGCGCATCTTGTGCGGCGTCGCCTCGCACGCCACTTGCAGCTGCTCGGACGTGCGCTGCAAGTGGTCGTGGAGCACCGACACCTGCGCTTTCGCCTTCTCCGCCTCGCTCAGGTAGTGCAAGACCTGCCGCTCCGCCACCTCGCATCGTGCTTGGGAGCCTTTCAAGCTGCGTGAAAACTTGAAGATTTGCTGCGCCACCGCGGCCGTCGGGGGCGCGGGTGCACTCGGCTCCGGCTCCGTGTTGTTGGTGACAGCGTCCACCAACTGCACCTGTTGTAGCATTATATTGTAATAACGGTACTAGACGTTTGCAATACATATGTATACCTGCTCGCCGTTTTGCCAGCTCACACCGAGGATTGAGCTTAGGTAGACCTCGCCGTCCTTGGCGTGGACCATGTACTCGAGAATGAGCTGGTGCACGACCGGCGTGCCCGTGGCGGCGTTGCGGCGGTTGACATGGCGCGCCAAGAGCGTCGTCTCCTTCTGAATCGCCTCGCCGAGCAGCATGCTGCTTTCTACGTCGTTGCTATGGTGGGGTTTGGGGAGGTCGCCACGCACCGTGTTGGACGACTTGTATTGGGTCCGTGTTAATATTGCCATCCGTCGTCGGCGTGTCGCTGTGCACTTGTTCTCGGTAGAACGGAGGTAGCTCGGCTACAACAACGTGGCAGTCGCCGGCGCCTTCAACCTACAACAAGGTCAGCTTTGAAAACACAAATACCTGAAATGACCACAGTGTAGACGCTCAGGTAGCGCACGCGCTTGGCCGGTGGCACAAACTGCGTCAGACAAAATGGAAGCGCCGCAAAGTCCGTGTCCCCCGGCGCGCTCGCCTCGAGGCTTTTCACAAGGGCAATTAGCGCGGCGCCCGAGAGCAGCCGCATGCGTCCGTCGACAAACTTGGCCACCGCGACGGGCCAATGGTCGCGGCACGCTGTGCGCGCGCCCCGGTGGCTCAGAGGCGAGAAGCCCTTGTTCATGTGCCCGCAAAAGGCCTGGAGCACACTCTTCCAGTTGCAGTTGCTCTTGTGTTTCCGAACGACGTGGCCGTCCTTGGACGTCACGTACCACGCGTATAGATCGCAGTGCGGCCCGATGAGCACCGTGCTCGGCAAATGCGTGCGGAAGCGAGACGCCTGCAGCATGCGCGTCGGCTGGTGCAGACCCATGCTCGAGTCGTCGGCCATGAGGCTCAGCAGCGCATGGACGTTGCTCTGGACGTTGATGAGCTCCGGCGTGCGCTCGAGGTTGTTCGAGTCGGGTGCAAACCGAAACGTCGCGAGCGTCATGTGCCCGCTCGCGGCCTTTGGCGGCGGCCGCGTTGGCACGTGAGGCCGCGCCGACTGCGGTCGCTGCGCTACGTAGTACGCCATGGAGACCTCCTTGGCGCGCGAAACGGGATATGAAACGGCGTCATAACCCATCGTCCTGCCGGCTTGCTAGGTTACTATTGCAGAGAAGTGCTCTGCGCCATCGACTCTCAGCATCTAGCCGCAACGCACAGTCACAAGCTTTTGTCTCCATCTCCTGCTTCTTTCGTAGTACACATTGTCTACTAGAGTTATAACTACCCGTGTGTTGTTAGATTACTGTGAAACGGTGCGCATGGGCCTGCCGGCGACGTGGCGGTCGGAACTCGCAGCGCAGATCAAAGCGCTGCAGAAGGCGCCTGTTCAGGTACGAGACGGGATTCGCTGCGTATTTACGCTCTGCAACTTCTAGGGGCTGCTGCAGTTCTTGTCGGATGGCATCCAAGAGGTCATCATGGGGCGACCGCGTGACCCGTTCTACTACATGGCCGAGTACCTTCGCTTGGCGGTACGACTCTCTCTACCCAACTGGCGTCAACGCACATGTGACAAGGCGATGCTCATCGATGAGCCCGACGAGCTGACGCTGTCGCGGGAGCTGCACAAGAAGCAAATCATCCTCGGACGCATGCGCAACGACCTCTCCGTACGACATTTCACTAGGATCACTCTTGATGTTTCATTCGGTTTTAGCGACTTCGAGCGCGGCGGCTGCGGGCTCTCCACGCGTGCTTGGACCTCGAGGCGACCTTGCTCGTGCCCGACTCGATCTTGACGGACGCCGACAGAGCCTTCTTGGACCCCGAGCCGCGCTGGCTGCAGAACTATTGGTGCCCGCACACGGATGTCGTCGCCACGATTGCGCCGCCAATGATGGCATTCCCTGCCATCGAGTCGGGCAACACCCGAGCCATATTTGAGGTACAGAGTCCACTCTACATCACCATACCGACCTTGGTCGTAGTGCTTTGTGCCAGAATGTCTGCAAGCCATTGTCGAGCTTCGAGTAAGTACACTATCGTACTCGGATTCGAGTCGACTAGAATACTATTGTAGAAGGCACAGTCAGATGATCCGATTCGATGGCTCATTGCCCACTTTGAAGCCAAGGTACGCGGAGTTGAGTCGAGTCGATCCAATGCGGCGTGCGACTAGTCGCCGCAGGCACAACAGCGAGCGCAGTATGTCGACCAACTAAAGGCCGTACTCGGACAGTACCGACTCTACTACGAGCGTATGAAGGTGCAGCCGCCCCAAGCCGAAATCGATGCCAACCGCGCGAGTTGCCAGCGGGTAGCACTGTCGCCAAGTTGGTTTTCCGAATTTGCGCTGCGTGATTAGGACGACCTCCAGGCGCAGCTCTCCGAACGCACGCGTCTCGTAACACACATTTCGATCTCCAAGATGAGGCCCCGGACGCAGCCCCGCATGACAGGTTACCCTATATTTGCAGTACTAGGGTGCTCAATGTATCCATTGTCTTGCGTATTAGGAAAGCCCGTCGTTTTCAACCTCGAAAAGCTGTGGGTACCCCCCGAGAACATCGAGCCCATCGACGACTACACCCCTTGTAACCATCGAGTTTTGATCGCATACATTGTCATGCATTCTAGTTCAACTACAAGCGCTCCATCGCGCCGAGCGGCTCGTCATGGAAGCCGACGAAGTGCGGTACAAGGCGGTTCTGCGCTTCGACTTGGAGTACTACTCGGCGCGGCGCATCGCCTCCATGTACCGCTGCCACCGCGCGTACGCCAAGTACCAAATCCTCACGGCCCGTCGCAACGCCGCCGCCGCATCGATCCAGTGCGTCTACGAAGCATATTTGTACCGAAAAGCCGTGCAACTCCCCCCGTGGTGCGTCCTCGGACAGCAAGTCATGGTGGCCATGGTCCTCGCCCGGCGCGCGGGTTCAAATCCGCTCAATGTTTTATTTTTGACATTGGTGTAGCGATTTGGTTTGAATTTTACCGGGGACGGGACTTCCCGGCGGGCAACTTTGCGACGGACGCCACCAAGTCGCTCGACGAGCTCAAAACTCGGTGTCGCCACGACGACAAGTGCGCGGCGTTTGCCTCGGACGGGTCCCTCAAGCGGTTCGTGCCCCGCCAACTCTCGCAGCTGCAGCCCTTGACCAAGCTTGGTGCTTCCACTGACGACGGCCTCTACATCAAGCGACTGCCTCGTAGAATGTACATCGATGGGAACACGGGGTATATGAGTTTGTAGGATCGGACGCGGACGTCATTGCGAGTGCCATCGTCACGAGTGTGCCCCACAACAAGTTTGGCACCGTCGAGGTCGTCTTTGACGGCACCGGCGTCGTCGAAATGGTCCCCGTCCAAAAGCTCTCGCGCCGCTTTGCGCACGAGTATGACTTTGGTACCGACACGTGGCAATACGTCGATCAAGTGTCGAGAGCGCAAGTCGCGACCGCCCCCGAGGTATCAACTTGATACTCACACCAATTATGGCATTCGGAGATGGTAGCCGTTCACCGAGGCGACCGAGCGCCAAGCCATCATCGACGAGCGCAAACGACTCTACACGGTCGCTAAAGACGAAGCGTACAAGCGCAAGGTCGAAGCGAGTGCCGTCAAACTCCAATGCGCGTTTCGTAGCAAACGTATTTGAGATTCCGAGTGGACTCTCAATCTCAATTACGGAGTTTTTGTAGGGGCACGGGCCAAGTTTCGTCACCTCTTGGAGGTCCGCCTCAAGGAGCTCGAGCATCAAGCGATTGTCGACGCGGCCGCCGCCAAAGTGGCCGAGAAGACGAAGAAGCGCTGGCGCCGCTGGTTTCGCTGGTGGAGCTAAGAGCGTCGAGTGCAATGCACTCGTCAATGGCAACCCAAGGACAACCTGCCGTTTCTCCATCTGGCTCTGCAGCTGGTTCTCCGTCATACAGTCTCCTAGCTGGTCTACTAGAGAGGGTTGCACAGATCTAGTCCTCCTCGCTTTGGAAATGGTGTCTGCGCCAAGATCCGGTAGCTCAGCGACTGGAGCGGAGTAAGCTTACTGTGGGCTGGACGGAGCTAATAGGTCGTCAGTGCATCGATCATTCTAGTCTGACCTTCGACTTCATTGACCATCTCGACCTGGAGACTGGCAGGGATTTGCAGATGTGGAGCGCTGGATCGTTTAGTCGATGAATTCAGCGCGAACGACAGCTTCGCTGGGTTCGATGAACCTCGCCCGCTCATTAAAGAAACGCTTCGAGTCTCTCCAAATTCCAAGCGCCCGATGCAGAGATGTGCGATGGCGAGTACTGTGCACAGAGCCGCTCTCGATGAGCAGCGTCTTCGCCAAAGCCACCTGCGATGGCCGCGGGTGTGGTGAGAAGCAGAAGCATACTTTACGCAAGGTACCGCCTCGTTGTGTGGGACAAGCAGCTTGGGTGCGTGCGTTGCTCGATCGTGATTGTTGAGCCTATCATTTGGTGGGCAGATACCATGAATGTTGTCAGTAACGACGCTTTCTTTAGTGCATTGGGGAAAATATATGCAGTGTATAGGTTGATTTCGGCATTAAGTTTGTTATCATTTGGGGTGTGACCTGGTTGGTCGTTCTTTTGGCGAGATGGAGCGATCGAACATCACTTGGCTGTGGCACCGACTGCCACAGGACCACGTGGTGCACACGCCACTTGCTATCACTGCGCTTCGCAGACGCCAGCATCCACCGCCCACTTCGCATTTTGCTGTCCATCGAACATGGCACGGAACGTCATTGCGCTCGTCCTCATGGCGGTCGCGGTCACAGTGCTCGGCCAGAGCAGCACAGGCATCGCCACGACGTACGGTGGCCCCGAAGGGTCGCCGCCGGGCGACGGCAACTGCAACCTCATGGACTGGCTGCCCATGTCCACGAACGGCTACCACGTCGCGATCAACACGGTGCAGTGGGCGCTCGGGAAGCACTGCGGCCGCTGTGTTCAGATCCAGTGCGTCGACTCTGGCTGCACAACGAATGCGGTGGCCGTCGCGCAGATCACGGATCATTGCCCCGGCTGCGAGAACGGCGACCTCGATATGGCCCTGCCAATCTTCCAGGCGACCACAGGCCACACCACGGGTCGCTGGAAGGTCCAGTGGAGCTTCGTCGACTGTCCCGTCCAAGGCGGCGTCAAGATCTGCGCCAAGGTCGGCAGCTCCCAGTGGTGGCTTGCAGTCCAGCCAACCAACACGGTCAATGGCGTCGCGAGCATGTCGGTCAACGGCCCAACCTGCCCGCTCTTTGGCGGCACGGCGTACTACTTCCAGGCGCAGCAAACCGCGCCGCTCGGGTCGACCCAAATCAGCATGACATCGTTCTCGGGCGACACGATCACAGCCAACGTCGCGCTCCAGCCCGGCCAGTGCACACAGCTGACCCAGCAGTTCAAGACAGGCGGCGCGTCGCCACCCAACCCGCAACCCAACCCACAGCCACAACCTCAGCCCGCCCCGCAGCCAGCGCCGGCGTCAGTGCCCGTGGCGCCCATGTCGGTCGCGTCGCGCTTGCAGCTACCGCTGACGCTGACGACGTCGACGAGCAAGGGTATCTTGGAGTACTACTCGGGCATCTACATGGGCGACAACACGTACTCGTCCAACTTTGTGTGGACGTACAACGCGGGGACGCAGCAGCTGCAGAGCCGCAGCGCGCCCAACCAGTGCTTGGACGCCTACCGGGGCGGCGACGGCAACATGTATCTGCACACGTGGACTTGCGACGCGAGCAATAGCAACCAAAAGTGGATCGTGTCCGGCTCCAGCGTCAAGCACGCGACGCACAACAACCTGTGCGTCGATGCCAACCCGTCGACGGCCAACAACGCCGTCCAGGTCTGGCCCTGCGTCCTCGGCAACAGCAACCAGATGATCGCCGTCGCCTCCGTCATGCTGCACGTCGGCATCTCGCTGCGCAGCCAGAACGTGGTCTTCGCCGCCAACCAAGACTCGAGCGTGAGCTTCCGGCCGCCCAGCCCGTCGTTCAACGCGCTCGCGAGCGACCAAGGCGCGCTCTGGACCTTTGACCACATGCAAAACACCATCAAGTCGGAGCTCACGGGGCTCTGTCTCGACGCGTACCTCGGCTCCAATGGCGCGCCCGTCCACACCTACTCGTGCAGTCTCTCGAACGGCAACCAGCAGTGGCAGTACGACCCGTCGAGCAAGGCGATCAAGCACATGATCTACAAGGGCTTTTGCCTCGACATGGACCTCGGGTCTAAGAAGGCGCAGCTCTGGCAGTGCAACGGCGGCGCGTCCCAGCAGTTTGGCTATGAAAAGTAGACACATTTGTATATATCATTTTATTCTATCTAATTTCAACCAAGGTCATTTGTGAGGATGCTGACTTTCACTGATTAGCAGAAAGAGTACGTGAGGGATACAATAAGTATATTAATCTATCGACAAGGTGTACACACGACCAGGTATTATTATTAATTAATAGTTTTCTTACCAAAAGTCGATTGAGTCGGGTTGTTCGTCGACATGACCACTCGAAGTGGGACAAAATACGCCA